CCTGACTATAGATTCCGATTGTGGGCCACAGGAAGAGGGGGGATGGAGGGGCATCAATAGAAGGATTCAGTCGGGCCTGTCCTTCTACAGGAGGAATATTCAAAAATATTCACACAATAGTCTGGGGACCATTTTTGAGCATTTTGTTAAACATGTTGATGAATAGTGTTATGTTTTCTTAAATGTTAGAAGAAAAGAAGTCGCCCAACATCTCCCTGTAGGGGACATGCCCGACCTAAGAGAAGGAACGCGGAAGGGCGAGGCGGTGCGGGAGTTTCGCCCAGCGGGCAGGAGACGCTGCACCTCGGCCAGAGCATCTGCAGCGACGAGGACAGCGTCTGGCTCGAGGACCTCGGGGGTTAATCCAACCATCCTCTTCGAGATCTGCTGCGCCTCGACAACAACGTGACATCAGGCAAGGAAGGCCTCCACTGCAGTCTGCCTCATATTGTGGCGTGAGTGTAACAGTCCCTGAGGCCTCGAGGCCGGGGGATTGTGGAGTCCCTGTTGGATCCAGACGTTTTTTAACGATATTTCACGTTGCTCCTCATCATTATTCTGATATGTCCTCTCTCGCTTTCTCTCTCTCTCTCTCTCAATCTCTCCCACTCCCATTCCCATTCCCATTCCCAATGCCACAAATCCATTCACATTACCATTACCATTACCATTACCTCTACTTTTATCTTTACCTTTACCTTTACCATTACCATGGCCATTACAATTGCCATTGCCATTCCCATTGCCATTACCAATGCCGTTGCCATTGCCATTGTATTGCCATTGCCAGTCGCCACCCCGTTACCACTACCGTTACCATTACCATTACCATTACCATTACCACTAGACACTACCATTACCATTGCCATTACCATTAGCATTACCAACACCATTGCCATTACCATTACCATTAGCATTACCATTACCGCTGCCATCACCATTACAATCCCCATTCCCATCACCATTGCCATTACCGTTACCGCTACCGGTACCGTTTCCATTACCATTACCATTACCATTGCCATTATCATTAGCATTACCTTTACCACTACCATGTCCATTCCCGTTCACATTACCACTACGATTCCCATTCCCATCCCCATTACCATTACCATTACCATGACCATGACCATGACCATGACCATTACCATTACCATTGCCATGGCCATTGCTATTGCCATTGTCATTGCCGTTGCCGTTCCCATTGCCATTGCCATTACCATTACCATTACCATTGCCATCGCCGTTGCCATTGCCATTGCCAGTCGCTACCCCGTTACCATTGCCATTACCATTACCATTACCGTTACCGTCACCATTACCATTCCCAGTACCATTACCTCTGTCATTGCCATTACCATTGCCATTGCCATTGCCACTACCATTACCATTGCCATTCGCCACTACCATTACCATTACCATTGCCATTGCCATTGCCATTCGCCACTACCATTACCATTGCCAGTAGCATTACCATTCCGATTCACATTCCCATTCCCAATACCATTACCATTACCATTACCATTACCATTACATCTGCCATTGCCATTACCATTACCATTACCATTACCATTACCATTACCATTACCATTACCTCTACCTTTACCTGTACCATTACCCTTACCATTCTCATTTCCGTTACCACTACCACTGCCATTCCCATTCCCGTTCCCATTCACATTCCCATTCCCATTCACATTCCCGTTTCCATTCCCATTCCCAGTCACATTACCATTACCATTGCCATTGCCATGGCCATTACCATTGCCATTGCCATTACCATTACCGTTGCCATTGTCATTGCCATTGCCATTGTCAATCGTTACCCCGTTACCACTATCACTACCGTTACCATTACCAGTACAATTACCTCTGGCATTACCATTACCATTCGCACTGCCATTGCCATTGTCATTGCCATTAGCCATTAGCCACTACCATTACCAGTCCCATTTCCATTGCCATTTCCATGACCATTACCATTATCATTTCCATTACCATTACCTTTACCTCTACCTTTACCTTTACCCTTACCCTTATCATTCCCATTACCGTTACCACTACCAGTACCATTTCCATTCCCGTTCCCATTCCCAGTCACATTCCCGTTCCCATTCCCATTACCATTACATTTACCATTACATTTACCATTGCCGTTGCCATTGCCATGGCCATTATCATTGTCATTGCCATTGCCATTGCCAATCCCATTGTCATTGTCATTACCAATGCCGTTGCCATTGCCATTGTATTGCCATTGCCAGTCGCCATTGCCATTGTCATTGTCATTGTCATTGCCATTGCCAATCGCTACCCCGTTACCATTACCATTACCGTTACCTCTACCAGTACCAGTACCATTACCATTACTTCTGTCATTACCTCTGTCATTACCATTGCCATTGCCATTGCCATTCGCCACTGCCATTACCATTGCCAGTACCCTTTCCATTCCCATTCCCATTCCCAGTACGATTACCATTACCATTACCGCTGCCATTACCATTAGAATGCCCATTCTCATTCCCATTCCCAATGCCATTACCATTCCCATTACCATTACCAGTGCCATTACCATTACCATTACCACTACCACTACCACTATCAGTTCCATTCCCGTTCCCGTTCCCATTCCCACTTCCATTATCATTCCCATTACCATTACCACTGCCATTACCATTACCTTTACCTCTACCTGTACCTTTACTGTTACCATTACCATTGCCATGGCCATTGCCAATGTCATTGCCATTACCATTACCGTTGCCATTGCCATTGTCATTGCCTCGCTACCCCGTTACCTCTATCAGTACCGTTACCATTACCATTACCATTACCATTACCATTGTCATTACCATTACCATTGCCATTGCCATTGCCATTGCCATTGCCATTGCCATTCGAGGATTTCAGTAGGAATCATTCAGTGGAGGGTTTCAGTAGGAATCCACATGTGGAGGATTTCAGTAGGAATCATTCAGTGGAGGGTTTCGATAGGAACCTTTCTGTCGAGGATTTCACTGTGAATCCTTCTTATGGGGGCGTTCAATAGGAATCCTTCTAGGGGGGAGGGCAGATGTGGCCACGTCGCATTCCTTTTTTTTTCTCCTGGCGCCCCCCCCCCCCCAGAAAACAAAAAACAAAACAAAAAACACGTGTTTTTCCCTGGGGGGGACGCCAGGAGAAAAAACAAAGGCAGCGAGGTAGGAGGAGGGGGAGAGGGAGCAGGAGGAGGAGGAGGAGGAGGAGGCGGAGGAGGAGGAGGAGGACGGCACAGAGCAGAGTTTGCACAGAAACAGTCGCGAACTCAGCGCGAAAGCCTCGCGCGCGCGCTTTGGAACCACAGGGACTCCACAATCCCCCGTTCTCGAGGCCTCCTTGACTGCTGAAGCACGTGAGTTCCAGGTGCAGGTCCCCGCTTCGTCTCATGTCCAGTTGGCACAGGTGGCACAGGACTTCAGAGACAAAGAGGACTCAGCCGCTTATACCTGCCATTCGGGACAGACTTCTGGGTGACGATTCAGACTGCATTTTCTTGCCACCAACTTTTAACCTGCATGCAGAGTTTGGCTTGGTGCAGCACAGTTAAAAAAAGGATGTTCCTGGCAAAGCAACCTAACAGCGATGTGTAGAAACATATCTGGAAGCATTCCCCTTACGATTTAGGTGAGAATCCAGTTGTAGAATTCTGCTGTTCTCGCAGTCGCAGCCTCAGCCTGCCTCGGCTTGCATCGGTCTCAGCCTCAGCCTGCCTCGGCCTCAGCCTCAGCCTCAGCCTGCCTCAGCCTCAGCCTCAGCCTGCCTCAGCCTCAGCCTGCCTCAGCCTCAGCCTCAGCCTGCCTCAGCCTCAGCGTCAGCCTCTCAGCCTCAGCCTGCATCAGCCTCAGCCTGCCTGCCTCAGCTTCAACCTCAGCCTGCCGCAACTTGCCTCAGCCTCAGCCACAGCCTCAGCCTCAGCCTCAGCCTCAGCCTGCCTCAGCCTCCTCAGCCTCAGCCTGCCAGCCTCGGCCTCAGCCTCAGCCTGCCTCCTCAGCCTCAGCCTCAGCCTGCCTCAGCCTCAGCCTCTGCCTCAGCCTCAGCCTCAGCCTCAGCCTGCCTCAGCCGCAGCTTGCCTCAGCCTCAGCCTCAGCCTCCTCAGCCTCAGCCTGCCTCAGCTTCAGCCTCAGCCTCAGCCTGCCTGGGCTTGCCTCGGCCTCAGTCTCAGCCTGCCTCGGCCTCAGCCTCAGCCTCAGCCTGCCTCAGCCTCGGCCTCAGCCTGCCTCAGCCTCAGCCTGCATCAGCCTCAGCCTCAGCCTCAGCCTCAGCCGCAACTTGCCTCAGCCTCAGCCTCAGCCACAGCCTCAGCCTCAGCCTCAGCCTCAGCCTCAGCCTCAGCCTCCTCAGCCTGCCTCGGCCTCAGCCTCAGCAGCCTGCCTCGGCCTCAGCCTCAGCCTCAGCCTGCCTCAGCCTCAGCGTCAGCCTCTCAGCCTCAGCCTGCATCAGCCTCAGCCTCAGCCTGCCTCAGCCTTAGCCTCAGCCGCAACTTGCCTCAGCCTCAGCCACAGCCTCAGCCTCAGCCTCAGCCTGCCTCAGCTTCAGCCTCAGCCTCAGGCTGCCTGGGCTTTCCTCGGCCTCAGCCTCAGCCTGCCTCTGCCTCAGCCTCAGCCTCAGCCTCAGCCTGCCTCAGTCTCAGCCTGCATCAGCCTCAGCCTCAGCCTCAGCCGCAGCCTGCCTCAGCCGCAGCCTGCCTCAGCCTCACCCACAGTCTCAGCCTCAGCCTCAGTCTGCCTCAGCTTCAGCCTCAGCCTCAGCCTGCCTGGGCTTGCCTCGGCCTCAGCCTCAGCCTGCCTCGGCCTCAGCCTCAGCCTCAGCCTTCCTCAGCCTCAGCGTCAGCCTCTCAGCCTCAGCCTGCATCAGCCTCAGCCTCAGCCTCAGCCTGCCTCAGGCTCAGTCTCAGCCTGCCTCAGCCTCAGCATGCCTCAGCCTCACAGTTGGCTCCGGGCAATCAAAATGTAGCCTGGGAATTGTTTTCTGGGAACACGAAGAACACGCAGTTGGCTCCAGGCATTCAAAATGTGGCCCGGGAAGGGTGTCCTGTGAACACGAAGAACACGAAGTGGCCTACAGTTGGCTCCGGGCATTCAAAATGTGGCCCCGGAATGGTGCTCTGGGAACACGAAGAACACGAAGTGGCCTACAGTTGGCTCCGGGCATTCAAAATGTGGCCCGGGAGCGGTGTTCTGGGAACACGAAGAACACGAAGTGGCCCACAGTTGCCTCCAGGCATTCAAAATCATGCCCAGGAATGGAGTTCTGGGGACTCGAAGACCACGAAGTGCGTTACTGTTTGCTTAAAACGAGTTCCCCGGCATCCCCCGGATCCTGCCCGGACCCCCCTGGGGAGTCATGATGTTTTTTTTTGACCCTACTAGAAGCCTATCAGTCTTCGCTGTTAGGTCAACGATGTGACGGCAAATGCCTCCTCCACTTGGATCCCGCGATCCCCAAACAGGCCTTGCAGGGGGCCTGCCAGGGCTCCTGCACAAGACAAGCCCTACGGGTGGTACCGTCGACCATGAGAAGCGAACTGGGCACAAGAGGCGGAAATGAGGGCAGGGGGCAAGGGGCAGGTGCGGATGTGATGCGAGGGCGAGCATCTCGTGGTCTTCGGCGCATCCTCCTATTGCAAATGAATCGTGTTTCAAAGGCCTTGGAGACAGTTGGGGGCTGGCTCATTAACTGACTCTCGGGCGTTCGTGGCCAATTCGGGTGCGCCTTTTGGCGTCTCGCGGCCTCTTCGGGGCTTCCCGGGGGTATTGGCATCGTGTTGGAGGGGCTGGCGTCCAACGGTGCGTCAGGCCCCTCTTGGCGGCCTCTCGGGATAGTCTTGCGAGCATTTCGTGGTGTCATCTTGGACGCCAGCGATGTAAACCAGCTCCCTTCGGCCAGTCCCTCCACCGTGCCTGGGTTGTGGGTTCTAGGCCTCTTGGATGTTCGTTGGGATATTGTGGGAGGCTTCTCGGGGCCCTGCTGGAGGCAGTTTTGAGGCCTCTTGTGGGCCGTCTGGGGGCCTCTTTGGGGCCTCTTTGGGACCTCTTGGGGGCCTCTTGTGGGCATCTTGGGGCTTCTTGGAGGCCTCTTGGGGCCTCCTGGGGGCCTCTTCGGGCGGAAGGCTGGAATAGTCGGTTCGTGTTTCCCCTCTCAGGCTGCTCGTTGTGCCGTCTTGGGACTCTTGAGCTACCTTGGGCGCCTCTTGGGCCGTATTGGGGCGCTCGTGGGCCGTCTTGATACTCTCTTGGGGGCCTCTCGTGGCGTCTTGGGGCTGTTCTGGGGGCCCTTGGGGCTGTCTTGGAGCGTCGGAAACTCGACAAGGCGATGACGTGACAACATTGCAAGACATCATGAACATCGGTAATTAGGCTATGCCTCGTTGGGCCCTCTTGGGGGTCTTCTTTGGCGCTCAGGGGCTTCTTGGGGCCTCTTCGGCAGTCCTGGGGCCATCTTGGGCGTATTGAAGCGCTCTTGGTCTGTCTTGGAGGCCTCTTTGGCTGCCTGGGTGTGCTTTCCCAGGCCGTCATGGAAGCTCTGGAGAGCCCCAGGCGACGTGGCAGTCGTGGCCGCCCAGCGACCCCCGTAATGAGGGCGATGCAGTCGGTTGGGCGCGTCCCGCGGCGGGGGGGCGCTTAGAACACTACACGAACCCTGCCAGGCAGCCCTTGGCAGTCTTCCCCGCCTCAACGTGCTGCAGGCACTGTGACGGCTTTCAGGCGATGTGGGCCTCCTCCTCCTTCTCCTCCTCCCCAGTGAAGTGATCAAAGGAAACTTGGCGTCCCCTCGACTCGAGCACGAAGCGGGTCGGCTCGCCTCGGGCCCGCGAGCCTGGGGTGGCGCCAGGTGGCCGCAGGGAAAGGGCGCATATGAGAGGGGTCGGGGTCGCTCTCCCTCCCTTGATCTGCGAAGCCGCGTGCCGACGCCCGTCGGCGCGGTGGTGCTCGCGACGGCGGGCTTGAGAGTCCAGCAGTGAGTCGTCGTTTTCTTCATTGTTTTGCCGATCGGCGCGGGCGCCCTCGCACCCTCCCTCCCTCCCCCCCCTCCATGGAGTAGATCCTGGGGGGTTCTGGCGCCTTTTTCACGCAGGTGGAGGCTCCCCCATAGGACGCAAGGTTCCAAACAGTCACGCTAAGCATAGGTTCGGAGCCAGACCCCCCCCCATCTCCCCACCCTTGTCGCTCAATGTCGAAACGCCGAATAAGAAAGCGTTCACAAATGTGTGCCGATGGCATGTGGTGTGCCTCCGATGGGTGGCGGCAGGCTTCTGGTGCCGACCTCTCTGGGCTGTCTCGGAAGAAATCTGCGATGCCATTTTGGGAAAGCGCAGGCGGTGGCTTGGCCCGCGCCCCCTTATCGGCGACAACAAATTGTGTGATCACGCCGAGGTGAAGTTTGCGATCGGCGTCGTCGGGGCTTCGGAGGTCACAACGCTGCGTCAGAGGTTCGACGAGCCCTCGTCGGGGCGCGGCGGAGATTCTGTCGAGGTCCCATCCCGCTCCCCAGGGTGCGGGCTGCAAGACGCGCACACACACACACACACACACACACACACACACACACACACACACACACACACACACACACACACACACACACACACACACACACACACACACACACACACACACACACACACACACACACGCACACACACACACACACACACACTTCTCGGCGGCCAGCCTTGGAGAGAAGTGAGAGGGAGCGGGCCTTCTCAGAGGGCTTCTGAGAAGCCCCGCCGCATTCTGAGAATGCCTTCTTCTCATTCCCCCCCCTCGCTCGCCGCCGAGGGTTGCAAACCACACCCTTCCTAGACATCCGGCGTCTCGATTTTTTCAGGGCACGGGCCCCCGACCCCTCTACCACTTCCCTGGGACCACTGTTTCATCCCGAGTCGCTCGTGGACGGTCCCGAGGCCTGATAGGGGCCCCGAGAGGCCGAAAACTATGGACAGCCTCGGTCTCGATTTTTTCGACATGCGCGTCGGAGCCGCCGACCTCAGGACAGCGCCATGAGGGTGCAGCTGGCGCTCCCGCCCGAGGAGGCCGGCAGGACCCCGGGGGGGTGAAGGGGGCCGCGGGTCGCCGCCCCTCCTCGGCGCGGCGCGGCCGGCGCCGGTGGGCGGGCCGAGTCGGGAGCCTCGCGGCGGGGGTCAATCTCAAACGACGCGAAGATCGGGACAGCATCGGATCGGGGTAATTCGAAGTCTCTGAGAATCGGCGGGTTTGGAGGATGTATTGGGCGCCGCGGGCCGCGGCCGCTCCAGAGCGTTCCGGAACGCTCTGAGAGCGCTCGGGAACGCTCTGGAGCGATTTATCCCGATCCATGCAAACGGGGGTCGGCCAGAGCGCCCGAAAGTGCAGGATCCTGCAAGGCCAGGGTCGCATTGATCCGGGATGGGGCGCAGGATACTGCAGGATTGTTCTCATGGATCCGGGTTTGGGCGCAGGATGTTGCAGGATCTTGCCAGATTCTGCAAGGCTTGACTGACACGGGTCTGGATTGACCCGGGTCAGAAGATCCCCGACTAAGGTCGAACAGCAAAAACCGGCACACACATAAATTGTTGACGCTCCGCATACCCCCACCAGCCATCAGGCGTGTGACCGATCCGTTTAGAATTTCGGTGTCGACTCTTTGCACCGCTTTCCTGGCTGGCTTTTCCTCTCGTTCTCGGGGACGGGATTGCCCCGGATCTTTTCTCTCAGGAGTGAATGTGCGTTTTCGGTGGCGCCACTCGTACTGGTTCATGGTCAGTGACGTATTCCTGGCCATCGGTGTTAGTATTACTTCTTGGAGTGTATTGCAAGCGAGCTGCCCCCTTCAGGGGCTGGGTGCATGGATGTCTCGCGTGGTTTATCCTACGTTTTGTCCCCGCGCTCAGCGGCAACTTGTCAGCTCGCTGTCTGTGACCCTGCCGCGCCACTTTGGCTGCGTATAGCTCCTTGGTTCAATCCGTGCATCGGTATTGCCCCCAGATCCTGGTCCTGTTTGCAGGTTGCATCGCCCGCCAGCAGGCGTCGGGTTCTGCCCCGTTTCCTGGCACCACCTCGCGCCGCCCGGCAGCTTAGGCAGCTTAGGCAGCTTGGGTTGGCCGTCGGTCCCCGTGCGCTAGGTAATTCGGTTCGCGCGTAGCCCGCCCGACCTCTTCGGACGCCGCCTGCGCTTCCGCCTGCGGCCGCGAGAAACAAGATCCCCACCAGCCGGTCCAGAGGCGATGTCCAGAGGGATTGCATCGATCAGGGAATTGGGCAGCACACAAAGGAATGGTCCCTGTTGGAGCGCTCTAAGGACACTCTTGGGCGCTGTTGGGTCTGTCGTGGGGCTGTTTTGGGCTTCTCTTGCGGCTTGGGGGCCTTTTGGCGGCCCGGGGGGCCTCTTGGAGCGTTTCCGAGTGCCTCGGTGGGCCTCTTCGGGCCTCTTGGGTGTCTCTTGGGGGCCTTTTGGAGACCTCGGGGAGGCTCTTGGGTCCTATCGGGTGTCTCTCGGTATCCTATTGGAGGCCTTTTGGGGCCTCCTTGGCGCCTGTTGGGGCGCTCTTGGGGCGTTTTTGGGGGTTGTTGGGGCGTTCTTGGGGTTATTTTGGAGGACGTGGATCGAAGAAAGCGGCGGCGGAAATTATCGTCGGCCTTCTAGAACGCCTAAAAACACTTTTCGGGTCTCTTTTTCGAGGCGGTCTTGGAACGCTCTAGGGGCCGTCTTGGGGCTCTCTTGGGCATCTCTTGGGGCCTCCTCTTGGGCCATACTGGAGCAATCTTGAGGCCTCGGATGGCCATCGGAAGCGACATTGCGAGAAAGCAACGGCACATTGATTTCCCTTAGGTGTTTGAAAGAGGTGGGCATTTTGGCGGCCTCCTTTGGGAGGCTCCGTGGCCATGTGGAGCAGTCTTGGAGTTGTCTTGGGGCCTCTTGGAGCATCTTGTAAACCATATTGATCCAGCTTGGGCCATCTTGAGCCATCTTGGAGGTTATCTTGGGCTTTCAGAAGCCCTCTGGGGGCCACACTGGGCCATGTTGGACGTTCCAACACCTCGCGGCACCCCCCAGTCCAGGTCCCGGGGAGGGGGTAGGGGGAGGAGTCAAGCGACCCACCCGCCCGCAAACCATCTAGCTCACTCCCACCCGCCCTGCCAACCCACAAGTAACACCCGAACCTGAGCATGTTCAGCGGTCGTCTTTGGATGGGCAGCTACTGGGAACCAAACGCGACCCCGGGTGGGCGACGCTTGGGTGAGATGCGCCACGCGTGCCAGCGGCGCCACGCGCGCGAGGCACCCCTGGGGGCCGAGCGTGCCAGGCACGCCTGGTGCGCCAAATGCACCACGCGTTCCGAGTGCGCCAAGTGTGCCGCACACTCCAGCCGCGCCAGGTGCACCACGTCCGGGGCACGTGCAGCGTGTGTCAGGTGCGCCTGCGCACGTGACAGCACACTTCGGGAAAAATGTCGGCCCCAACCATGTCGAAAACCAATGTTCATCATTGTGTCTGGCTGGCCTGCTCACAGCAGGCCACGCGACACCACTCCCAGCATCCTTGTCAAAAGCCACTTGGCAGTGATCGCGGCGCGGCCGCGCGCGATCCAGATTAAGCCGCGAGGCGCATGGGATGCGAGGATTGCGCGCAGCAGGGAATGTGCTGACACCCCCACCCTTCCCTGTCAAAAACAATACAAACTGCTCGCGGCCTCACAAATGTGGAGGCAAAGTGCATTTTGTATTGTTTTTGACAGGTCTGGCGGGGGGCGGGCCCGCATGGGGTCGGCATGGTTCCGGGTTGGCCGCCACTCGTGTGGGGGAGGGGGTGCATACTAATAAGGAACAGTGGTAAAACCCTCCCCGACATTGAAGAAGGACAAACGGAAAACAAAACGCCCTAGACCACCTACGCCTTAAAGAGCTCGTCGGACTTTCGGCGGTCCGCGCGAATTTCTTGGATCCGCGCTGGGCCCCACTGGCGGCGCCTCCAGCGCAGCCCTTGGCGCGCTTCGCGCGCAAGCGAGAGGATCTCAGCTCAGATCAACGAGATCTGCACGGACCGTCAACGGTTTTATGTTTCTGCCACTTCTGGTTCCTCTATAAGAGGGGCGGAGAGGCTCATCCTCCCCCTCACTCCTCCACGTCCTCCTTCTCATGCTCCTATTCATCCTCCTCCTCCTCCTCATCCTCCTCCGTAGCCGGTTTGGCTCACATTTTGAGTTTTCCAGCGGAACGCACGGATACCGCTAGTCCGCAGCCAGTGCCAGTGTTTTTTAGTTCGACATGTCACTGTCTTCCAGCCAGCACCTCAGGGCTTATTGGCGGCCGATGCCGGCAGTTAGGTTTGGGATTGGCGCGTGGCTCGGCAGAAGGGTATGTGCAAAGTTTCCCACCAGACCGGTTTCGCGAAACACCTGTGACAACGTGGTCCCATCAGCAGCCCCAGCTCCTCCTTGATTGGGTAGCTTTCACAAACGGAGTGGCCAGCGCTCCCACAGGCCCAGCCCGAGCCTGAAAAGTTGCTGCAACAATATATCTTGGCCACGGGTCTCGCCGTTGATGCTGGTGCCCTGTCCCTTGCGCGGCAGGTCCAAGCAGTTGCTGAGCGACCAAGCCTAAGCCGAAGCCGCCGTGCCCTCATGTTGTCTTCCGCCAGGACACCTCTCTGTGCCCAGAACCAGGCCAAGCTCGCCAAGGCGTCGAGGACCCTCCTAGCGGCGGAGGCTTGGTTCGAGGAGCGCAAGAGTCCCCAGCGGAGCTCGTCGAGGCTGACCAGGCCCGCCGCGAGGCCCAGGAGGCCACTCAAGCGCGCGATGTGGCCCAGCCTGGCGCCACGGATGCGGAGCCCACCTTCGGCGTCGACCCGTTTTTGTTCGATTGATTCGATGAGTGCAGAGAAGCCGACCGTTAGAAACTCGAAGAATGTTCAAAAACAAGTGCAGGAAGTATCGGTCCGAGCCAGAGCTCGCGAGCAGGAGTGCAAGCAGTTGCTCGCCGCCGCCAAGCATGCTCCATCGGCCCCCGAGAAGAAGCGCCGCGCTGATGGCGGCGCCAAGGCTGGCGAGTCCACAGAGGGGCAATCGGCGGCGGCGAGCGCGGCGGGCGGCTCAGGCGATGCAGGCTCGGACGGCGATGCTACGGGACCGCGTCAATTCTCCGGGGGCGGCAAGGGCGGCAAGACGGCCTCCAAGGAGGAGCGAGATCGCCCGGTCGTTTTCATCGCCTCGGCCTCTCGCGAAACCACCCTCCAGGCAGACGGGGCCCACGAAGGAGGCCCCAGCCAGTGCCGCCTTCAGGGCGGTAATCCAGCTGCTAGCTCTGGCCAGCGTCACTAGCCCAGTTAAGGTCGATGAAAACGATTGCAGAGCCTATCATCCCAATATCATTGAGTGGGGCCCACAGGCCCGTCGCTATCTCACGGAGAATTATTGCGCCCACGTCGTTGCGGCCCTGGTTGAGACCCATCTGGGCGAGCAGTCCATGCCCCAGCATGAGATCGACCACGACAAGGGCGGTCGAAAGATGAGTTCGACACCCGCGCGCCCCTCGGGGCGCCCCCAGGATGGCATTGGCGGCGGCGGGTGGACTCCCATGCGCAAGTTTGCGGCGAGCTCCTCCTTCCAACGCGCGCGCGAGGCTGCCCACTCTGATGGGCGGCAGGACCCCTGCAGAGGGTTCGCCCCCTTGACTTTGCATTTGAGAAAATGGAGGATGTGATCATCGCGGCCCGCCTCGGACCTAACTTCCAGTCTCGTTGCGTCGACAGTGACATCGCGGCCGCTCTGGCGCCCTTCACTGGTGCCTGGCCGACCCGTGGCGGGTCGCTGCTGATGGGAATTGCAAACCTCAGATGTTGTGCTGCAGCGGCTGGGTTCAGTAGCTGCAGGCCCGAGTTGATGTTCCCGACTGCAAAGTCACTTGTGACGAGGGGTCGCGGGGTGCTCTACGATTGCGCGCTTGCCAGGCAGTCGCGCCCAGACCATCCATCCAAGGTGCGCGCGGCGCGCCGTGGGGGACTCAGCGAGGCCTGCCATTCCCAACAGCGGGGGCTCGCGCTGAGCGCTGGGTCTCCTAGCT